TCCATCGACGCCAGAGTATTACAAATTTCGAGATGCCATGTCCGTCAAGATAACCTTCGAAGGGAAGGAGGACACACTTCACCTCATCAACCGTTACACTCATATTGAAGTGTACTTTACTGGTCCTACCCAGCACTGTCCATTAGTACGTAAGCTACTCACAACAGCTATTGATAATAGCAGTGATGCCATGCACCTCAAGCATAATTACGTCAATGCATTTGCCTGCCCTTACAATGAGAGCTGCTATTGTATCGTAAATGAAGATCACCATAAAGTAGCTGACTGTACAGTTTGTGGTGAATCTCCTGCTCTTAACAATGACTACTGGACCTGGTTTAATGATGCACAAGGTATGTGTATACTAATAATTATTATTTATAATTTATCACTTGTGTATAGGACCTGATGAGAGTAACAATGGAACACAATCAAAACAAGATAATGATCAGTTATCAGATGAAAGTAAGGAACTATTATTATTATTTATTATTATTATTATTATTATTTATTATTATTATTATTATTATTTTTACAGACATGCTAGACAAGAAGCCACTAATGAGTGATCTCCAGTGGTTATTTGATAGTTCTGCTGCTGATTACATGATCATTGGTTCTGCACTTGATGTTAAAGTGAATGACCTGTTACCTACTCCAGGAGCTGCTGCCAATAACCTGGTACTGATGTTCCAGAGATGGATAGACTCCAATAAAGGAGTGACCTGGAGGAAAGTACTTCAAGTTTGTGATGATTATCCTGATAAGTTTGGAGAAGTAAAAACTTGCATGGACAAATTTCTTAAATCAGATAGAGCTCGTGAAAAGTATCAAGATTAATAATAATATTGACTTTTATCATTATAAATTTATATTTATAATAGTGGAGTATAGTTTTGCTCAGTTTTTGACATGCACATACACTGCAGAACTAGTCCTTTTTCGGGACACTCCGCTAATCCATTTCGCATTGATATTTATTTTGTTTATTGTTTGTAACAAGATTTGTGGAGATTGTTTAATTTCTCACATTTTTGTGGTAGGAAGCCACACACATTAATAACCTTTTAAATAATAATGCATGAATGAGATGCTTCATAGCGTTTCTTTAATCTTCTCAGTGACTGCGCCACCTGTATCTTGAAGTCTGTTCTCAATGGCCAGCGGGAGGGATCGTAATGAACCAGACTATCTACCTGCTACACCAGCAGAAGGTCTTAAACCAATGCCTGTTACTCCAGAGGTCATTGCCATTGCTGGGAAGATGAAGAAAGACGCGGAAAAGAAGCTCAAGAAAAGCTTCAGCACCTACACTCCACTGTACTATATCAAGAACGGAGAGACGGACTACTGCATTAGAGTAAGACTGTACTATGAGTTGTATCCACAGAGAGTACTGATAGTGTATATATACTGCATATGACTACTGCAAGCGGCAATCATGATGGACCCATACTGTAGAGCCTCTGTAACTCAGAGCCTGTCCTGTATTAACCTTTATGTGGAGGTATTTATAGGTGCTGTCTTTTAAATGGAAGTGTATGCTATAGGAGAGTGTCCATTAAGAGAGGCCACACTGTATCGTCATAGATATTCATATAGATCTAATTGATGTTTGTATTCATTTGTATAGGTTGAGGTTGGTGTGAATGAGATGATTGATGTCTCTGGGAAGTATGTTGCTGGTAATGCTATGAGAGTTAAAGCCAAGGCCGTCACCAAAGATATTCCAATGACAATTTAACTTTATTATTATAATTTAGATCCATACCAAGTACTAATAGCTCCTTCATTTTATTTTTGTGCTTTTTTAACTATTATTATTATTATGGACAATTGTAGTTACAACTATCATTAATTCTATTATGAGAATAATAAACTGCTGCCATAAATGAAATAGATAGTTACTCACTCCTGCTCTGTGTTGTGATAGCTACATCTCCCACCATTATAGCTGTACTATCACCACTTGACTACAAGCTGTTCCATTCACTAGTAACAAGTTATTCAATAAGCTGTGACATTCTCTGCCCCTCATGTGAAAAGAGGTAATGACTAGTGTTGAGAGTGTAGCTACTGTACCAGAGTGTAGCAAAAGGTATCAGTGACCCCACCACAGCTACCAGCACTGAACAAAGTATTGTCACTAAGGCTTGCTGTTAGTATATCAATTGACAGTGTCTCTGTTTATATTTAATATAATAATGTGATGCTTTCTATTCAGAGTTTGCTTTATTAACAATAACAGTAATAATTATCAGTTAGTATTGATATAACAATCATTAGTACCAGGTCAAGTCAAAAGTTGAGCAGGCCACTAAAGACAAGTACAGTACTTTCACTGCTTACAAATACATTAAGAAAGGAAACATCTACCTAATCACGGTTTGAATAATAATAATAAATTAATTATTATTAATAGGTTGATGTAGGTAAGGGTCGTTATGTTGATGTGAAGATTGATTACCGGTTTGGGAAAAATACTTTAAAAACAGCAACAGCTGCTGCCAGTGGAATGGATGCTCCACTCAAGTTGTAGACATTAAAAAAAGAATAAACAGAATTAATTATTACTAGTAATTGATCAGTTTTTGGCAATAGAAGAATCATTATTTACAGTAAACAATACAGCAACAGTTTCATCTCCTGTACATGATACTAGTACATGACCAACACACACACCTCCTGATGACTTTATACAATATACACCTGAGGTCAGGTCAGTAGTATTAGCAACTTCAAAAACACTTTTTAAAGGAAATACGAGACAGTCCAATCATAGTAAAGTCTGATGTAGATACTACTATACAAATAATATGATTATAGCTAGGATAAATAAATAAATAAATGAATTACTAATATTTAATAATATTTACCTGTTAGCCACAGGAATGTTAGCACTGAAGGAAACTACGAGGAAATAATTATTATAATTAAGTGAAAAAATTTCATCTTCTTAATTCATGTACATGTACAAGAATGTATACATGTACAGGTATACAGACTAACTTACTTTAAAACACTTTAAATCATGAGTAATGGACTTTAATCTCAAACAACATATGAGGACTAATGGACACTGATGATGTTCTATAAAATAAAATAATAATAATTGATAATAATATTCAAATACTTTGAAGAATTGTTTATTAAGAAAATTAATAACAAAATGTTATAATTATTAGTAGAAAAATAACGGATCATCGACCAAAAGTATTACTTTAAAATCGAACCAAGTCCCTATACTATAATAGTAAAGGGACTTTGGCCAAATTTTGCTAAAATTTAAAAAGGAGAGAATTCTTAATTTTTATTACATTTCCTGATATATATACACATGCTTATGCTGTGCAGAAAGTTTGAGCTGATTCCGATCAAGTTTGGATTTTCTATGATTTTTTAAAGTTGCTCCAAAATCAGACAAAAGTCCCTGTAGGGATTTTGGCTGAATTTCATCAAAATTGACAAGTAAAAAATTCCTCAAATTTATTACATTTCCTGATGCATATACATGTATTTATGCTGTGTAGAAAGTTTGAGTGGATTCCGATCAAGTTTGCATTTATTATGATTTTTAAAAGTTGCTCCAAAATCGGACAAAAGTCCCTGTACTATAGTACAGGGATTTTTGTCAAATTTCACAAAAATTGACAAGTAGAAAATTTCTCAATTTTATTACGTTTTCTGATGCATATACATGTACTTATGTTGCGTAGAAAGTTTGAGCTGATTCCGATCATGTTTTTTGGATTTTCTACAAATTTTTAAAGTTGCTCCAAAATCGGACAAAAGTCCCTGTACTATAGGACAGGGATTTTGGCTGAATTTCACCAAAAATGAAAATGAGAGAATTCTCAATTTTTATTACATTTTCTGATACATATACATGCTCTTATGTTGTGCAGAAAGTTTGAGCTGATTCTGATCAAGTTTGGATTTTTATGAATGCTCCAAATGGGACGAAAGTCCCTGTACTAGAGTACAGATACTTTGGTAAGTTTCACCAAACATAAAAAGGTTAGATTTCTCCATTTAAATACAGTTTCCCTCATGATAGATGCAGCTACATGTACATCAAATCCAATACTAGTAGTTGTACTATTACTATTAATTAACAATGTCTACATGTGCCGTGTCATAAAGACAGGATGTGTGGTTGCTATGACAACACATGTCACTAGAAAGAAATAATAAACAAAGAGCAACCAGAAGAGGAGAGAGAGAGAGAGAGGGAGATAGACAGGGCTGTATGATCTGTTGGAACACTTGCTATCAATA